CGGTGTGTGTGTGTGTGTGTGTGTGTGTGTGTGTGTGTGTGTGTGTGTGTGTGTGTGTTGGTGGGCAGGGGGGGGGTTGGCAAGGGTGGTTTTTGGGGGTTGTTTGGGGGTAGGGATTGCGGACGTGGGTCATAGCGATCGGTAGGGGGCTTTATTTTCGACGTGCAGGGCTGGTGGTGCTTGGTCTTCATTTTGCTCCCTGGCTAGTGATGTGACGTGCGTCGCAAGGGACGCAGAAGGGTCATTTCGCACGTCGGGGAAGAGCGAAATGACACGCCACGTATAGCGGGGGGCGACTACGACGACGACTTCGCGACTGATGAAGATCAGGCACAGGCGACTACGTCTGGAGTTCGGGAGAGTGGAGGGTAACGACAATCTGATCACGGCGCTTCGAAAAGGCTGATGACCCCTCCACCCGAGACGAAGCAAGTGCGCGCCCGCGACAGGCGGACTGACGACGCTGACGTCCACGATGTTGGTGATGACGATGACGAGCCCTTGGAAAGACGCCACCTGCGCAGTCACACATCAGCCACCCCGCCGCCGGCGGTTTCAGGCACGCTCTCGCTGGAGAAACGACAGTCATGGGTAGGCTGCCCGCCACCACGGGTGCTCAAGGAGGGTCCGTCCAACGAGGCGGCTGTGGGGTAGGCGCGGCGCACGCGGGCGCAGTTGGGGTTGATGCGGCAGGTGCGGCGGGCGCGGTTGCAGGTGTTTCAGGCAGTGCGCCCCCAGTTCCGGCGGCGAAAGAGGAGGGAGCAGTTGCGGCGATGGCGAGGGACGACGCTCATGGAGAGAAGAGGAGTGATCGGGAGGGCGGCGAAGCTGGTTCGAACAGGCCGCGTAGGGGAGTGTTGTCAAATGACCTCGTAGACCGTGCCATCCTTTGGGTCGACGACAAACCTTACCGGACGACGGGGGAGGGGCGAAGACTCTACAACATCGTACACGAGACAAGAGAGTACTTCGTCGCCATCGCCAGCGGACTTCCACCGCCTGCGATCCCTCGGAGCATTGTGATGCCCAAATCCAGCACGCGGATAGCCAGGATCGTCGACCCGTCGCTGCTGCAACAAGCGACCTCCTGTGCGTCGGCAGTGGAGAATATCGCTCTCTGCGTATTGCACGGCTGGGTTTTCAAGTCCAGGAACCGCCCAAGGGGTTACAATCTTGCTTTCCAGTACGCACTGGAGTCCGTGGCGACAGACATAGTGCGAGCTATGCAGTACGGCGAGGAGTGGTGCAACGTCGTCAGCCCTGCGGTTTGCGCACACACAATAGATCTCTCCATGGACTTGCAGCTGTGGTTCGCGGGTGTGAACGTCGAGAACAAACCGGACGACGATGACATGGCGGTGTACCAGGAGTCCACCATCATCTGCGCCGCGCATGCGTTCCGGGTGGCGGTTCAAATGGGGGCGGTCATCGACGGCGAGTTCATCTCGCACGATCGTCTTTGCCGAGTGGCTGACTGCTTTAGACTGTTGTTGGCGGCGTGCATGTGGATAATGCGCATGGCGGGAAACGATCCGGGCAGCCACTTTGAAGCTTTCTACTTCGCGACGCTGGTGTCGAAGTCCACACTCGTGGCGTCCATGCATCGATCGTTCGACCATCGTCGATCCATTGGCCTCGCCGTGAAAGCCATCACCGAAAGGTTTGGGAAGGCAAACGCCACGTTTGGAGAGCACCCCGACTACCTTCCTCGATGGGCAAACAGCGGCATTGTGTTCGGACACGACGCAAGGATTGACGGGTTGGAGGAAGCTAAGAAGCTCGATAGGTTGGGTTCAGGGCCCGTCGATGATGACAACGACGACGACGGCAAGGGTGACGCGTAGAGGGGGGGGAGGTGGGCGGTACGACTAGGCGGGTGAGTGGGTAGGTATCCAGGGGGGCTTGCTATTGTGTGAACGCGGGCGAGTGGACACGTGGCTAGTCATGCAGGTGCCTCTCTGCATGCGAGCGACTTTATAGCGGTTTCGTCACCGAAGAGGGGGGGGTTCTTAGAGAGTCGGCAGTGCGGCGAAACCCGGTTGATTGGTTGATTTCGTGTGTGCAACGTTTAGTGCAGATGTGTAGTGTGCAGGTCATCGTAGTCGACGACGGGTACGTTAAAGACACTCGTGTGTTTTGTGTTTATCATCCCGGTTGGATCGACAAGCAAATCGTAAGCGCTTTCAGCGCACCTTTTCTTTTGTCTTCTTTGTTTGTCTGCTCAATGTGTTTTGTGTTTATCATCGCAGTTCAATCGACATGCAATTCGAAAGCGCTTTCACCGCACCTTTTCTCTAGTCTTCTTTGTTTGTCTGCCCTCCACCTTCGCACCGTTGTTATCCTCTTTGCGATGGATGATCAAAAGATGTTTGCCTCGCATGCATGCACACAACCGAAGACGGCGTCCCTGAAATGCGCTTTGTATTCGTTGTAAGAGGTCGACCAACTATCATCAAAGTTTTCGACAACATTTTGTGAAGCTCACAAAAAAAATCGTGACAGACGAACTGACGAAAAAGATCGTTGTATGAGGTCGCCCAACAGCACACGAAAACGATCGTGATAGACGAACTAACGACGTAATAATTGAGACAAACAAAAAAATTTACAAAAACATTGCCTGAAAAAAAAAAAAAAAAAAAAGACTCGTCTTGAAACGAACAAGATTTCATGAAACACATAAAATTGAGGAGCCAAACAAATAGAAATTCCCACCGCATGATAGCAATGCAGTCGAGCGAGTCGCCGACGACACAAAAGAACAACATACAAACTGCAGCTGGAAGCTCAATCCATTCAAAAAAAAAAAATAAAAAAAAAAATTGAAGCGACTTACACCAGGGAAAAAAAAGGTCATTCCAATATTAAATGTTCACACGTACGTGCGAACCACGCAACCCTCCACACGACGAACACAGCAAACAAAGTCATCACCGACGACCATGCATCCGTCCGCTCTACACAGCTACTTCGCGGACCACGACCGCGGGCCACGGGCCACGTCAAAATATGAACCCTCCTACCGATCGCACCGACCCGCGTCCGCAATCCCGACACCCCCGAAACACACACACCCTACACACACACGCACCAAACCCCCACCACGCGTCTACGTGCTCCTACATCAAAGCCAGCTGGTCTCGAAGAGAGTCACGCAACAAGTCCCCGTCGACGTTCGTGCAACGTTGCCGCCCGGCCGCGCCGTTCCCCACAATGCCCAATTCCACTCTCCGGCACACACCATTCTCATCCACCTCCCACAACAGGTTTTCATCGAAGTCGATCCCGACGTCTAGGAGGATGTTGTGCAGAGTGCACACTGCCACGAATTGTTGCGGCAAGGTATCCAGGTTCGTCTTGTGGGTGCGCAAGAAAAGACGCCACATGCACTTCAGCCGCCCGAAAGCTCTCTCCACACACCCCCGCGCCACCTTCTGCCGCGTGTCAAACCGCTCCTCGTCAAGACCTTGGTCTATTCCTCCGTACGGCTGCACGATCAAGGGGCAGACAACAGGATAACCGTTGTCAGCTAGCAAGTAACCTCGCGTGACGACTCTGTGCGGCAGACTCACCGGAGGTGCGTCGAACAGCTCGCCAGCTTGTGCACGCCTCCACAGCTGGGAATTGTGCAGGACACGGACGTCGTGCACGCTTCCCGGGTATCCGATGTGGACGTCCATGATCCGCAGATCCAAATCCACTACCACGTGCACCAGCACGGAAAACTTTTGTTTGCTGTCGTAGTAGTTGGCAAATGGTGCGTCGGCAGGCTTGTCAATGAAGATGTGTGTGCAGTCGATTGCGCCGAAGCAGTTGAGGAAACCCTTGTCACGGAAAGCGCGCAGAATCTGCGCGCGTCTACGGCCCACTGGCCACTTTATCGCGTTTGGGTACGCCTGCAGCAGTGCCAAAGTGACGTCGCGGACGGCCTGCAGTCCAGTTGCTCTCACGATGCTAAAGGCAGACGTGCCGCTCTCGTACGTCTCTCCTGACACCCACCTGTACAGCACGAACGCGATGACCTGCTCCATCGGCAATGGTATCCTATACTGTGTCACCTTCTTCTCCACTTACACGGCGCACTCGGCCACGATCTGCCTGAACATGGCCATCGACATGCGCAACTTTTGACGCTAGTACTCGTCCGTCGCGTCGTCACACAGGCGGAGGTCCTCCCATGTTCCGCCAGTCCGTCGTTTGATCCACCAGCGCGGGGTCTCCCGCGGGAAAACGCCAGAAGACAGCGCGCTGCACAACTGGATGACTGCCTAACACCCGGCCACGCAATCTGGCGCTTCGTCAATGCGCTGCAACAGCGCTCTTTGTTTGCGGAGCTTGCCAGCATGTCGCTTGACGAGGACGGCACACCACGCATCGTGTTCATGACGACGGCAGTCACGGCCATCGCCACCGCGTCGATTTCGTCATCCTGAAGACCCTGCCCGCGCCCACGAACGTCCATATCCGAGAACCCCGTGCTCTCCATAGCTAGACGCCTGCCACAACCGCCAAACAAACGCCCGCTGCTGAAAACCGCCACTTTCATGACGTACACCGGTGCCGAAGATGCAGTCGCTCATGTACGACGGCACAGGAGATGACGCACGGCGCAGCCGAAGACGCGCCCGCTGCTCCACGCTTCCACAGGGCAGCGCGCACGACGTAGGTGAAGAAGCGCTCACCACGAAGATGCGCCCACTGGTCACAAGTTGCGCGGAATCGGAAGACGGATACCCACGGCGTACGCTTCGCCACCGCCGTCTTTTGAACGTCACACGCGTCGCCTGGCCGTCCTCCGCCGCGTTACCCTGCGTCCGTGAAAATTCAAATTTGAATTTTTGAAGTTCGGGGGGACCGCGCTTTTCACCCACCCCTTTTTCCTCTGCCCAAGGGCCTCCGCAGTGTGTACCACGGACAACATCCAGGAAGGGACGGACATCGGCGGCGCGGCTGCGTATACGCATATGAAAACCAGCCGCGGGAGACCTTTTAGGACGATTCCTAAAAGATGATTTTTAGGACTGCGTGCAACGACGACGCGCGAAATCCTAAAAAACCTTTAGGACTCGTCCTAAAAGTTTTAGGATTCTTTTAGGAGTGTCTAACGAGCCCCATCCTCGGGGACGCAATCCGAAAAAAAAAAGTGAAAACGCTCGTAAGGAAATTCCTCGGGCAATAGGAATTTCCCTACCCATTTCTTCCTACTGCCCAAGAGACCTCGCGGGCACAAGGAATTTGCATTTCACGGAGAGGAGAGGGCAGAGGGCACACGGGTAGATAGATGTTACAGTCGAGAATCTGGATCGTGGCGGCACCCTATTGGCTGAAGGCCTGAAGCACAACTGCTTTTTTTTTTCTTTTCTTTTCTTTTTTCTGACATCGCTCTCAGGAAATGTCCTCAGGCACAGGTGGAAGGAAGGGCCCAAATTTCCTTTTGAGCCATTAAAAAAAAAAAGAAAAGGAATCTTTCCTATTGCCCGAGGATTTCAATAGGAGTGTCTAAGGATGCCCTGAGTGTGCCCTCAGGCCTGGACCCCACAGGAATGCGGCAAGGAAAACTTTTGCCGCGGAATTGTTTCCGGGACCCCACATGCCCCGGAAAAGGTCGTGGAAAGGTTTGGTTTACTCCGCGGAATCATTCCGCGGGGCCCCACAGGCCGCGGAATGTGGCGTGGAAAAGCTTCCGAAACCGTTTCCACATGGTCTGCGGCATGGAAAAGTGACGCAGGAGGGATTTCCGCCGCAATTTTGTGCCGACTCTCAAACGTTGGGGGGCGGTGCATCGCGAAGGTTTCCAAGGTCTCCAGCTCAGGCGGGAGTAGAAGATGTCCGGGCAGCCTACACTGTAGTCCATGTGTCGCACCACTCCGTCAACCGCCACCCGAAGTCGCCCTCCAACGGACATTGGTGGTTCCTAGGCTCCAGGGGCGGCCACACCACTTTCCATTTCGGGATGGCACCCCGGGCACATTTCCTATTACGGAAAGTTCAATCCGCATTTTGCCGCAAAACGGCCTCGGGTGTGGGGTCCCTGCAGAAGGCTTGCCAAACTTGCCAAGACTCTTCCGACGGCCATTCTGCGGAAACGTCTTTTCCAAAGGAATTCCTGTGGGGTCCAGGCCTCAGTCAAGGCACTGAGTGTTCATGTCAGATTCCAGAGACACACACACAAAAAAAAAAAAAGGAACATGGATTCAGCCCTGAAAATGGCTGGATACATTCCTCTAAGTGCCCTGAGTGCCAGACTGAGTGTGATCAGGGTTACAATCCTGTGAGAAAACACAGCTCGAGCACATCATGGATTCAGATTGCCAGATTCCAGAAACAGGAAAAAGAAAAAAGAAACCGAAACACAGATTCAGCCATGAAAATGGCTGGATACATCAGGGTTACAATCCTCTGAGTAAACACAGGTAGAGAAGGGGACTCTTAACAAACAAACGAGAGAAAAAAGGAAAAAAAAACAAGTTTCAGAATGTGACCTTCTTTGCTGTAAGATGCATTCTGTGTAGAGGGAGACTGTGAGCAGGACCTCCTAGACTACCCTGGCCGACATCATTGCAGTACAGAAGCTTTTTTTTTTT